CTGTGAGTTGTTATTCTATGCGCAGTAGGTAAAAGTCATCTTCAGAAGTTAAAAGCTACTTGCATGTGAAATCCTTTTCATTTCATATAATCACTTTTCATCAGTTAGGTGAAATAATGTATTTTAACATGGATAGCTCTGGGAAAAGCAACTTTTTAAACAACACAGCATGTAAATATGCAAGGTTTCAAGGCTGAGAGTTAAACCATCTCTGTGTCAGTGAGCCTGAAGCCCTGCTTTGGACAAGTAGCTTTGAAATTTCTATATTCAGGTGTAAAGTTAATGTATATTTACTGGTATTCCCTTTAGGCCTATTTTTTTAAAGCTGGAGAACTGTGACTAGATTATCAGTAGAAAAAATGGGAGAACAAAATTATTAAAACGAATAAGTTAGTAGAACTACTTTTTGTTAACCCAGGAGCTCCAAAAGAGCTGAGTAAATTTACTTGCTGTTTGTCTTGCCCTCTTGTATAGTAACAGAGAAATGGAAGACTACAAGTGTCACCAGTTGTAAAATGGGGCTTAAAAGGGATGGTGGGACCAAGAAGCTTAAATGTTGGATAGATTGTGTTAATTATGTTAAGAAATAAAATTAGTAGACTGATGTAGAAGTACATCTATGAAAAATCCTACATATTTTAATGTTAAAAAAGATCTTTAAAGGCAGAACTGTTTGGAAATCAGTAATTCCTATTTGAATTTTCTACACAAAGTCCCTGGTGAGTACCAAAATAGCGTCTTTTCTTTCCAGTCCATTTTGCATATGCAGCCTGACTACTTTGGTTGAGCTCCTACTATCTTCTTAGATATAGCTTCTTAGACTTTTCTGTTTGACTTCTTATGGATGTTTTAAGTGGAAGTTAGTGAGATCATTGGGACAAATAAAATGCTTTCCACATATATGATTAATACTGCTCAGTTCTGACATCTTTTAGGATGCGTTATGCATTTTTTTAACACCAGTGATATAGAAGTATTTTGAGAACAAAGCACAGTTCTCCTTTAGCTAAATCACCAGCAGTACCCCTTAAACCACCCAAATGGTCCAGGGTGGACTCGTGCAGAGTGATATGAAATTACTCAGAGTTGGAGCATTGGGTGGTGTGTTAACATTATAGGAAATTTAATATTGTTTGAATATCACATTTTTGAAGTTAAATTAAGACAGGAACATGACTTGTTGCAGTTACTGAATCCTGAAATATTTTCTTCCGGATGGCTTGGAACAAATAAAGATGAAGCAGCCAAAACATTAATGCACAATAATCGATTACAAATGTCTGTAAACATGTTCTGTTAGGTTGCTATGAAACTCTTTATTCTTGGCGAACAAGGGGATGACTATCAGACTGCCTTAAAGCTTTTGTCTCGCACAAAGGGTCAGTGGTAATTTGAACAATCACGAGCTACTCTTTGTTCTGAAAATCAGAAAGATCACTCATTTTTTATTTAAGTAAAATTGAACCGAATATTGCTTTTTTCTTTAATGTTTGTTCTTCATAATTTCAGATTTTCCTTGTTAGGAAAGATTTCTAGAGTGGTTTTTTTTTTTTTACTTCCTTAACATGCATTTAGTCTTAATCCTGAGTTGTTGGGACGGGGGGATGAGAAGAATCTTCATTTTTTTTCATGTAACCCTCCTTGTATGCCGTATTGCTTCCCTCAGTAGCTGGCAAAGGGCACCGACCTGTTCAGATGGCTGAAACCAGGGATGTTTATAAAGCCAGGCAGGTTAATTGAAACGCACACCAGCGTAATGTCTTCCTGCAGAGGCTGATGCACCTGGCTCCAGAAAGTGCAGAGGTGCTACTTTCACCTGGGCTGACAAGTCAGCTCGTTGAGTTGGTGTTAGTTTGTTTTGAGTTGTGTGGCTGACGCAAATCATAGAACACATTTTAGGAAGTGTTTCTTTGTTGGTGAGGAAATTAAATATGGAAACACAAAGTATCTCGGGGTTGGTTGTCTGCTTCAGTCAGATTTCAGCTGAAATCTGACTCAGCTGGTTTGCAGAGGGTGGTGTGAATGATGGTTTATCAAAATGGACTTCCTTTTCATGTGTTGAAAAAAAGTGAAAAATAAGAAAATGTGAAATAAAATAGATAAACATACATAGGCTTAATGCATCTAACTGCTAAATGTTTAAATATTTAGTGCTAGTTTTAGTAATGATTTTCATATTGTATCAATAAAAATAGAAGGTTAAAGCAACAGCATACAGTTTTTCATGCTTGGGGAAATTAATATATTTGTTTTATCCTAACAATGTGTGTGTCTTTTTGTCATAAGGGGCTAGATTTTATAAAGAAAGCCCGACCCCTTGAAACTCTGCCTGAAGTTGTTTTCTGATCTAATATATAGTAAAGTGCTTTAGGATTTGCTTTTAAGAGGCCAGTATTATTGCTTTAATACTACAGTCAAAACCATTCCTGAGTAATAAATTTCATTAATTGAATTCCCTAACCCATTCTTCTCTGTTTTAAGTCATAGTGCTTCAGAATTGTGCCTTTAGTCCTGAAACTCCAAATTAGGTGCTTCACACTCCTCACATTACGGCTGTCTCATTACATTTCACTTTTGCTTTAATGATTTTCACTTCATTTATTTCATCATACCATTTATAGCAGTATGATACCTCTAATTTAATATTTTATTAGTATTTCAGCAGTTTTATTAGTATGTATTTTATATTTTGAATTCTAGTGTTACATGCTAGTGTGGTTGGGTTAACATGCTTTTAAATTAATTCACCACCCTAAAATGAAATTAAAGAATTATTTTTCAGGTTTGTATTTATTTATAAATTTTGTTATTAATTAAAAGCTCATTTTACAGGACTGTTTAAATACATTCCAATTTTTGTGTGAGGGTTATTTATTTATGGAACCTGTTTATTAGGCTATTTCAGTGTACTCTGAAAAATCTATTAATAAAGAATAAGGTTAGGTAAGCTATAAGTCTTAGATCAAAATATCCTTTAAGCAAGTGAAAAATAGTGATCTTATAAATGGTGATCTTATAAAATGAACTTATAAGAAGCAGGAAAGTAGAAAGAAAATAAGGAACATTACCAAATATCTTCATAATGTTAATACAGTTTTAGTTTATTAAAATAAGATTTGTTTTAAGTTAAAATTAATTGTGTCAGTGCAAGAGAAGGGAATCAAGATGGCTAATTCATGGTATGCTAGATAAATAAAAGAGAGGGAAGGAAGTGTTTACCAAGTGTTTATGGTGTTACGGATGGACGTGGGTACAGGGCTTCTGCACCTTCACAATTGTGATGGTAAGGCTTCAGACAGCTGCACATTTACACAGGAACTTTATTTTCCTTTTTTTTTTTGGCCATGATGTCTGTCAGTGGAGACAGTGCACCGGAGAATTCAATATAGGAACTGAGATTACAGCGCCTTCAGGAATGAGAAAAATTTACACAATGAAGAGTCCCTGTAGGGGAAGAATTAATCTTGGATTCTCTTTGTTTCCACTTTCTTGTATGAGAAATCTTGTATGGTGTGTCCTGCAATTGTGGCAGCTCTTTGGACATGATGTTGGCTTGTGTAGCCTCACTGATGCCACCAATATTGTAGCATCATTTGATGGCATTTCTTTTTTTACTTGCTTTAAATGAATGTTCCTAGTGGAGGGAAAAAAAGGAAAGCAGAGAGAGACAAAAATGTATTCACTGCTATATATATACACATACATATATATACATACACATACATGCATATGGACAGGATACAATTGGTGAGAGTGGTGCACTGGGTGACATGTGAAAAATGAAAGATGTGTCCTTTAAAGATTTGTAAAACATACCTCTCTTTAGTGTATTGCAAATACAGCCTTGGACAATGGTTTTTCCCTAATCATACCTTTCTGAAAAATGTTAGCTTTCCTTTTTATAGTTGAACTTACAGATACTGAAATTAGAAGTCCTTGTAGTAACAGCTTTCCCACTTATTAGTTTAGTCTGTTTGTTTGGTTAGTTTTTTCATGGTTATTTTGTTATATAATTTATTTCATAGCCACTGGTGTGCACCATATGCACATTTTTTCCATCCAATTTGAAGTCTTGGCATTTTCATGCATGATGGATTCCTATAGAAACCTACTGTCTACCCAGTGTTCTAAAGGGAAGATTTAATAGTAGACCAAGATTTTTCTGCTGTACTCCCTTGGCAGAAAATTACTGCTGGCAAATATTGTAAATATGTCTTATACAGGATATTAGTAGTGGTATTTCATCTTCTTCCTACTCCTTCTTGTTTTTTATTTCATGACCTGAACAATTTTGTGTGCAACCATCTATTTGATGCATATATGGCATCTGAATTTACTGTGGCACAGAAATATTTCAGGACTAAAGTAACCTTTTGCACTCCCATAGGGAAGAAATGAAATCAAATGTTTTGGGTTTGTAGCAGGAACTGCAGTTCCTTGGAGACAAAGCAACTTATGTAAATGTGTCCTTACCTTGGGAAAGAAGAGTGTTAAGAATGGGCCCTGCTGCTGGGGAGTGTGGACAAGAGGCAGTGTGCTTTTGTACAGGTGCTCCTGGACATCTGCCTGCCTTTGAGTAGGGACAGTTACTTGTCAGTGCCTGGAAAGAAAAAGAGGAAGAAACAAGATCTATATTTATTGTAAACTTTAAAAAATGCATGTAAGTATTGTTCACTCCCATATAAGCATGGGGGGTATGCATGTTTAAGTCACGTTGAATATGTCAGAACAAATTTTCCTTCAAGTGTTCAGAATGTTGTAAATTACAGAAACTGTTCTTAACTTTCATTTAGTTTCTCCTTTTCTTTCTCTGAGTTGTTGCATGTTCAAGTATACCTATAATGGATAGTTTTTGTTGTTACACCTAAAAAAAAGCCCATCTAAACAGCCTTGTGTTTAATTGTATCTGACTTGTTTATAAGTAAAATATTTCTGGAACAATATTTTTCACTTAGAGCTGGTTGTATTAAAGGAATTTTTTTTTTTTTTTTTTAATATAGGTAAAGACAGAGTTTTTAACACCCCTTTATGTGAACAAGGAATTGTTGGCTTTGGTATTGGAATTGCTGTTACAGGTGCTACAGCCATTGCAGAAATTCAATTCGCAGATTACATTTTTCCAGCATTTGATCAGGTTAGTACTAAGAAATTTGAGAGCAGTTAAAATAAATCTTACAACTGTTTAAATTACTCTTCTGTTAGCATTAGTACTTGGTTTGAATATATAATTTTTGCAAATATAACCACAACTGTATTACTAATATTTATGCATGCTTTAGGTAAACAGGCGTAAACTGCAAACAGTGCTAGTGCTGTATTCTAAACAGTAAATTGTACCATGGCCAATTTGAAGGCTTATTAAATAATGGAAATTAAAGATCTGGTTTGAGGCAAATGACTGTTTGTTTTAATTTTTGGTTTTGTGGCTGTTTTGGCTTCAGCAGCCATAAATTCAACAGCCTATGTCTTCTGATTACAGTCTCATTTCTACATACAGCTGCAGCTGGCCATGTGTCCACAGGACAAAGTACAGATCTAGACAGGGCTGACTGACAGTATAGAATGATGAAACAACTGGGTTATAAAGCTACCCCTGAGGCTTAGGCATCTAACTTGAGCACAATAAATTATTGGTTTATTTGCCTTGGAAAAAGATTTTCTTTGTGCTGACTTACAGTATTCCTTTGCTTCCAATTTCATCCTCTGAATCCCATGGAACAGATGATGTAGTTACATTGCATGTATTGAAGTGTCTTGATGCATAAATAGTGGTATTGGACTGAATGTTATTTTTATATATAAATCTTCCCAGATTGTAAATGAAGCAGCAAAATATCGTTACCGCTCTGGAGATCTATTCAATTGTGGAAGCCTCACCATTAGAGCACCATGGGGCTGTGTCGGTCATGGTGCACTATATCACTCTCAAAGCCCAGAAGCCTTTTTTGCTCACTGTCCAGGAATAAAGGTATAGTAACTCTTATTTTATGAAGATTTTTGTTTGTTTGTTTGTTTTGTAATGGACCTGACTAGCAATGACTCTGGGTGCAGACAGGGGAAGAAGAGTAGATGTCAATCCACAACAAAATATCTGAATATGTTAATTAAAAACTATCAGAAAACCTAAACTCTGTTAAATGTTTGAAAATTTATAGCCATTAATGAAGCAATCTTTGGTACACATCACTTTGTATTTGTCTGTTTTTTGAGCTACAAACACATATTTTACATAGTTTTGTGTACAGTATAGTAGAGAACCTAAAACTAAGTACTTAGTACTAGTAGTACTACCTAGTAACTAGTACTTTCCTTTTAATTTATTTTTTAATTTCTGCATCTCTGAAGTGCATTATTGAATTAATTTATATGAAAGACAGAGGTGAGCAGCAGGCACAAACTGAAAGACCAGAGGTTCTTTCTGAACATGAGGAAGCACAGATTGCCCAGAGAGTTTGCAGAGTCTCCATTCTTGGAGGTACTCAGAATTTGTCTGCATATGGTTCCTGGCAGCTGAATCTGCATGGCTCTGCTTGGTCAAGGGCATTGGACCAGATGACCCTCTGGAGGTCCTTGCCAAACTCAACTGCTTGGTGATTCTCTGAGTGAGAACTTCGGGCAAGCTTTCTGCCTGAAATGGTGGCTTCCCTTGAAGTGAAGATGCTTAGTGCTTAGGTGGATAACTTTCTTAGAGAAAGCGAAGTGCAGGATCTAATAATCTCAGATCAAGAGAGCACTGTTTGTCAGGCTCTCTGTTTTTTCCTGACCTAATTTTTGTCTGTGAACTTGTACTTCTGGGTTAGCTGGCATCCAGCCCATTAAGCAATGACTCATGCCAGATTAATGTGGAAGATTTAAGCAGAACCAGTATTTGTAGTCTAAAGACATGTTCATTGTTTATGTGCTGTTTATACTGTTGTCTCTTAATGATTTTGGTGTCCTAAAGCTTCAGCTATTACTCATCTGCAGGGAGGCCATAGCCATTTCTCCTACTTGTTCTTCTCTTAAATAAAAAACCCTGTATTATTCACAGTTTATTTCATTATATTTGATGAATGAGATACATTCTTGTCTTTGAGTGCTCTTTATGGTATTTGAGGTCCTCTTCTGAGCTTGAAAGTATTCCCTGATTATAGACGAAAGCAATCTACAAAGTCTTTTGCCAGGTTATTGAATCAAATGTTTTCTAGAGCTTGTTTAAAACTAAAGTAGTTTATTATTGTATTAAAGCAAAACATAGCTTAGATAAATAAAATACTGACTCCAGGTCCAGCTAATTTCTGCTGATCTTGTAGGTCAATGTCAAATTTTTGTATACTAAACCAGAGGATGAAGTTTAGTGGTCCACTCTGATGATTAATACACTTTCTGATTCATACCAACTACCTAGACTGATGGCTAGTCTTATCAACAAGTTAGGAAGTCAGAATTTTATTTAGTCACTCCGTGTAATATAATTTCTTTGTTCCCACCTCTGATCTTTGTGCCGGTTTTCCACTTTCTTTCATTTTTCCTTGGGTAAAATGCTAAAATAGGTTGCTACCACTGAGATCTGTCATCTCAGTCAAAGGTAAAGGCACATTAATTCTGTGGAACTGATGGAGCAATCTTCTAGTTTTTTGTGCACAGAGAAGTGTTTTAGACTCTATCTTTTGAGTATTATTGCTTTTTGAAAACAATGTTATTCCTTTAATATTTTTTGCAAAGCTGTTTATTGGTACAGTTCATAATCTTTCAAGATTGCAGGTATTTGTGAATAATCCTGACCCCTAAAAATGAAATAAAGAAGTTAAAATGAACTGGTGTTTCAGATGCATTTTCAAATGTCCCATATCTAAGCACACTTTCTTCATATTACAGGAGGAAAGTCAATGTCTTACATGCTGAGAAGAGTAGGGTTTGATCTTTGGAAAGAGTGGCTTTCAAAACAACCCTCTTATTAAACTTTGTGAAAGGCTTCTGGCTTTTTATTTTATGTTTTTCTTAAGTGGCAGGTAGAGTTTAGATTGCTCAAGCCAAGGGGGATTTGTATAACTTTGGTTATTTAGGGGAAGGATTGTGGTCATTGGTACTTGGGCAAAGCTTTTTGGGGTTTGAGAACACTACTGGGTGGTTTTATCTTCTGTCCACTGTTGTGAGGGTGTACATGGAAGACATTAATACTGATTCTCTGCATTCCATTGTACGAATATCTTCTCTTATGGTTAGAAGCTTTCTTTGTAATTTCCAGCCTAATTTTATTCTTGACAAGCTTGTATATTTAACTTATCTGTCCTTTACCATCCCATTTATATCCTAAAACACTTGTATTCTCTTTAGTCTTTTTGTTAGACTAAAGAAATCAAAGTATCAAAGAAATGTTGACAGTATCTGGAACTCTTTTGACATCTGTTTCATTCATTTTCTTTTCAAATGGTTGAAAGAATCATAAAGTACTCCAGTTGAGTTTCTAGCAGCAATTTTTGCAATAGCACTAACAGTTCCTTGGCTATGTTGTTACTTTTTTTAGGACTTAACTGCATAGTATGCTAGTCATCTTTTGAGCAGATAATAAATTCACATCTGAATTTCTACTCCTGAGTTCTAAATCTGTAACAAAAATTTAGTCCTTAAACATGTGACTTTGGGTATGTATTTTTCAGTTTGTTTTTGTGAACTGGGTCTTTTTAGTATAATCCTCTCTAGTGTAATGACTTCCAGCTTTGGAATAGTCTTCATCACCATGTTCTGACTTAACATCATGAATGAATAAGGTAAACAAAGTCTGTCCTAAAAATGATTCATTCCTAAGGAGCTGTACTGGTGACATCCATGGGTAATTTCCCATGTATCTGTTACCAAATGCTTTGGTGAAATATTAATAAACTGCTTCTCCCTTGTTTAGAAAAATCACTTCTCAAGTTAATTTCATGTAGTAGGAGACTTAGATTGTGTTTTCACTCTTTTATATTATTTTTATGTAAATAAATATTACTCTCAAAATATATTTTGAAGCCATGGCTGTAGTTAAAATGTTGGTTTTTTTTTTTTTTTTTTTTTTTTAAGTGCTTGAACTAATGTTTTCAGTGACTTCTAACTTAACAGCTATAAAAGAGTTTGCTGATAGACTTCATGCTGCATGTTCTAGCTCTTTGAGGTCTCTGGGATGGAAATTACTTGGTTCTTCTGATTTGAGGGAATTTGGCTCTTGGGTTCTATTTTCATTTAAACTGCGATAATTTGGTAATTTTATTTTCATAATTGAAATTCTCTTAGATCATCCAAAGTTAACTCTTCTATTGGCAAATGAATTATACTGTTTCCTTCCAAGTTTTTGGATTACATCTGGAGGCCTTAGTTTTTTGGTTTTTTTTTTTTTTTGCTTGATAATGATTTAAGGTATTTATTGGTTACTTATTTAAAAATTAACAAATTTCAAGCTTCCATCATAAGCAAAGAAAGTAATCTTTAAGAAACTATTTCATTTTGTAGCCTTCAAAACTTACTGGACTAAGTCTGAATACCTTTAAGGTCTGTTCTAATGAATCTTTACCTAAGTAACTGAGGATCACTCAGCTGCATTTTTTTTGTTGTACATCTATGCTAATTTTACTAACTTTATGTATATGTGTATATTAATCTGACTGACATTCCTTTTTACCTCAAATGTTACTGTTAGGATGTTAGTTCTACCTTGTCTGAGCACAGTAGCTTAGTATTTAAATCACTGTATAGAGAGGAGCTATTAAAGCTTCATCAATGAACAAAATAAAATTCAAAATTTGGAGTGTGCTTTAATAATGTAGCACTGATGTCAATTCACTTTGTAAGAACAGCTCAATCTGTACGTAGATTTATTTAAAGCAAATGATTGCTTAGTTTTAAGTATTATTGAGGAAATTTCTAGCAGAATTGCTATTTTAACTACTTAACTACTTAAAAATATATTTACAGATTGTTATTCCAAGGAGTCCTCTGCAGGCCAAAGGATTGCTGCTGTCATGCATAGAGGACAAAAATCCATGTATATTCTTTGAACCTAAAATACTTTACAGAGCTGCAGGTAAAGATTTGTATGTTGTATTTTCCAATAAACCAACAGTGTTTGGGGTTTTTTGCACATGCATGTTAATAGTCACAGCTAAAACAATGCTTCAGTAGAAGTCTTGACTATTGTTTGGGCTCTAGCTATGTTGTGGGTTGGGTTTTTAGAGGAATTTTGAAAGCTGAATAAATTCTCAAAGTTTGACTGCAAACATAATTTATAGAATAATATATAAGAATATTTACCATCTGATTTATGCTCATTTAGCTTTGGAAGTGGAATGCTCTACAGCCTAAGATTAACAAAAGAAGTAGAAATAAGAGGTATTATTCTTTATCAAGTTCCTATATAAATTTGGCAGAATTTGAAATGCTTTCTTGTGGTAACTCTAAATACTAAAATAAGTTTCCAGATCAGTTTTATTTTTCCTAAAGAACTGAGCCCCACAATTGCCATTTTCGCAAAGTTAAAATTTCTTTGAAATGCTTAATTTCTAAGAATCTTCAAAATCTCCTCATTTAGCTTTCAACCTTATTTGAAAGGAAATGTGATTGCCATTACTTTGTTTTTAGTCATAGTGAACTTTCTGGTTCAGAGTAGTTTTAACAACTCTCAGTTATGCTAACGTATTGGAACAGTGGAAATTGATAATGATGGTGTTGTAATTTGTTCTAAAAATTACCTTGTTACTTCTTTGGACTAGAGAAACTTGACAGAACAGAAAATGGATGAAAAATTTTGTATGTGGAGACAGGCAGAGAAATAGGATGAGCGACTGATAAAATAGAACTGAAGCCCTGACCTACCAGTAGCATTTCCTTGTCCTGTGGCTTTATATGCAAACTATGTTTGATCCATCAGTCCAGTTTATAAGTTGACTCTGTCTTGGCTGAATTTGAGTTACAGACAAAATGTTTCTATTTTGCTTTGGACCTTTTAACATCAGTTTTCCATGAGTGCATCCATTTTGTCAGTAAATTTATCCTCTTCCTAGAGAGGCAGTAATAAGTGAAAAATTTAGAAAACAGACATCAAAACTACACAAAATAGTACTATAATTCAGGATCAAATAGGATATTTGGTAAAACTGCTTATTTGCTTTTATATTTTCAAAAAAGGCCCAGAAATCCCGTTAGCAATGTAAATTTAAAAGTGCAGCTGTTTTTAGTGTGGTGGGTGTGATGTATCCGTAGGGGTGTTGCATTCCTTAAGTTCAGTGGGTTTTGAGGGCTTACTAAAATTCAAATAAAAGGCCTCTGTCCATTCATTTAGAGGAAGTAGTTTGAAAAATTAACTTGAGTATGAGTAGGCCTTTATTTCTTCCCCTTCCCCCCAGTATTTACACGTCACAAGTATAGACTTTAGAGTTAATAAAATACTTGCTTTCATATTGGCATGAAAAGCTGCATATCAGTATCATATAGCTTTTGAGAATATAGGGAGGTTTTTGTGTTTGAGGAAGTGACTTGTAAAGCAACTGCTGAATCATTTATTGAACATAAATCAGGCTTGTGATGGATATCTTGAGTAAAGATGTGATGAAATAGTGTTTAATGTGATGTATGTGCTGGTCAGTAACCAGCTGCAGTGTTGCTGTTGTTGGTAATTTCTGAAAGACAGTGATTTCCTGCTGTGTTCTGATGGCTATTTTTCAGAGACTTTACCAATATTTTTTGTCTTATAATTTCCAAGAACATCAGTTTAGTGGTGTAAGCTGAAATTTATAGTACATTTGCATCAACAAATGTACTATATGTACATATGACAGAGAGGATTGTAACAGGTAACTTCTTTCATCTGCACAAATATTTTATTATTTCTACAATGTAAAGCAGGAATATTTTACTAATGGATTGGTTTTTATGTTCTGTTTATTTTTGCTGTAAACTTTCTCTGTGTTTTCATTAGTTTGTCATCTTTACTATCCTTTGTGGGTTGGGTCAGCTTGGACTGGAAGATGGCTGCTGTCTGAGAGTTTCTTCTATATAAAATTGATCTCTCTTAGAGTTCATTCTTATACTCCTGGCCACAGTCAGGGTTTTTAGTAATTCCACCATAGAAACCAGGTGGCCTGGTGAATTCAGAAATGGACCAGGGCCAACATGATTGATAAGATCAAGATGCAGCAGCAATGAGACACAAGCCTGGCTGGTAAACAAGAATAAGATAAATGGTGGAAAGAAGGGTTTTAAAAATGTGACTTTCTTGTGTTTCCTAGAGAAAATTTTTACAATACCCCGTGTGAGTGTGTTGATTCCAGCAGGAGAAAGAAAATCATACAGGTTCAGAAATTGACTTAGACAGTAAGCTTGAACTATGTCTGTATTTATTGTGTCTTTCCATTAGTGTCTCAAAACAGTACAAGGTCTTCTGAAGGCTGGGAACATGCAGGCTTTCCAAAACAAGAACACAAAATGGTATCCGTTCTCCTCTATTACTTAATTTAGCTTTTTTTTTTTTTTCTTTTTTCTTTTTTTCTTTTTTAGCATGGTATAATACTTCACCTAAGATTTGTGATCTCGTTGTTCCAGATAGAAATAATTTTCTTTATTTCTATGATGATGGCTCAGTAATTGAATAATGAAATTATATTGCCCCTTCCATAGCTATTTTTTTCTTTAGCTTCTTGTGAATAGACATATTTGTTCAGAGAGCTTTGTGACTGATGTTACAGTGGGTGTGTAGGGACTTAGTTGAAAAATTAAGGTATTGAGGATGTTAATGAGAAAGAAGGTTTTCTATCTGTAAAATTAATGTAGGCTTTTGAGTCTTGTCATTTTCCTCTAATGGACTTCTCTTTCTTCCTATGAGTCCTCTAAATATTTGTCCATGATATTTTGTTTAGAGTTGTTGATGTATTTGAAATTACAGCTGAAAAGAAACTGTAGGTGGGATAGTCTTTAAAAAACAGGGTATCTGTCCTTATTCAGGGGGCCTGAAGCTAATAATGCTTTGTTTAAACAAGCAAGCAAAAAAAAAACCAACCAAAAACCAACAAAAAAAACCTAACAAAAATAATGACAAAAATCCCACTCCCCCTCCATTCCAACCACCAAAAATTTTTAACCTTCTCTGAGTGTTCCTGGCAAGGTTTATTTCTTGTCTTAGTCACATTTGTCTTCAGGTATATGTCTGCATATTTTGTTTACAGCTTCTCCTTTATCTTTATCATCCCATCAGACAGTTTTACTGAAAGAAACACTCCCATATTCCCCATACCCTTATCAATAAATGGGACTGAGCAGTATTGATTCCTGTAACTGCAACCCTCAACCTTTTTGGTAAGGTTTGTGGCCCTGTGTGTTCTTCCCCATGCCTTTTCTCTCTTCCTGTTTTCCCCATTTATATTGTAAAGATCCTTGTCTAGACACCCTTGGCGGAGCAGATGCTGTCTTCTTTCACAAAACCATACAAGTGTTTATCAGAAATATTGTGTATGTTGATTTTCCTTCAATTATATTAGGAGGGAGCAAAGAAATGTAAAACTTTCTGAGTAAAAATATAGAGTTCAATCTGCAAGTACACGCAGAGAGTTGCTATTTAACTTACGAGATCATAATGTTATTGAAGGTGCCATAGTGACATCCCCCTAAATGTCAGAGATACTAAGAAAATATCTGAATTAAAAAGGAAAAGGGGGCTTTGATTTATAAAAAGTGTTAACAGTCTGTGCAGTGTCAAGAGAACATAATGGTTATGAATCAAAGGAGAAGATGAGTCACCTTGACATTATCAGGTTTAGGCATCTTGTGGAGAACCTACTCTGATGTTTTTTGACCTTTTCAGATTCATTTAATTGTACTATATATGACATTGGTGGTGTAGAAATAAATACAACTTGCATCAGTGGTTGTTATAGAGACAAGGCAGGTAGGATGAGAAAACATGTATTTTCTTTCTGCTGTTCAGACTGCTCCTTTAGAAAATGCAACAGATGTTGTAACCTCTTAAAATTGTCATGGTCCTTTTTAACTGTTAATTACAACTTTTTGTTAATTGCTGTATTTGAAATCTGTGTTTGAAACATTTGATTTCATGTACTTTATTTCTTTAGTAATAGATAAACAGACTGCTTTGTATGTAAACACTGTTATCCTGGATTAGATAATTATTATGAAAGAATATTAATAGAATAATTCCATATGCTATTTATCATCTCTATTAGTTGGGAAAGGGGTTTTTACAAAAGCAATCAAGAAAAATCCTTCCAAATTGTACTTTTCTATAAATTTTTGACAAGCTGAATTTTCTATTTTAAATTGTCAGGTATGATAGATGAGCTCATTTAATGGACATTTTGTTGCAAAATGGTTCAGCTATAGTAAGAAATTAGTTAATTTGTGTAATTGTATGTTATATTTCATTTTCCTAAGTGGATAAAACCATTGCACAGTGAAAAAGCTTTTATTTCTGTATCATGTACATCTTCCAGTTCTTCCTCTGGCTTATCCTGCTCCCTTCAAAACCTTCTCATGTCAGTATCCTGGGTTTTCACTCAAAAGTCCCATGGTTTCTTTTTAAGTTTCTTGTTCTCCAGGTCTCATGTAAGTGACCATTTCATGGCAAAAGCAGTCATGCAATGCCAATTACTGTAGTTGTGGGTTTAATTATCTTTCAGGATCTCTTTCTGTTGCTTGAGTGTTGTACAATGTGTGAAATCCATAGAAACCTGGTCTGCCACTAATGTGCAGTGAGCAACTGCTGGATGTGCATTTCTTTCCCTTTCTTTCCCAGTCCTATGTTTTTCTAGCCACTTGTTATTCAAAGAAATTATTACAGAGCAGGATGCTTGAACTAGGTGATCTCCAGAGGTCACTTCCTACCTCAGCCATTCTGTGATTCTGTGATATACGTGGTATTTATAGATCATTATCAACAAGAAAAAAGAAAATTGTCTGCCAGGATTGAACATTATTTGCAACTTCATTTTTTGAAGTCACATTTGGAACTTGTAAGCCAGGAAAAAACCTAGGTCATTCTACTTTTGTTGTATCTACCATAACAGTGAAGGAAAAATATTAACCACTTCACTATTGGTATCACTCAGGGCGATTCTTTATTGTTACTTCAAGAAGCAATTTTGTTCAGCAGGAACTCAAGAAGTATTTATGAGCTATGAAATAAGTAAAAAAGGCATTTTCTTTATAAATTGTTTCTGTGTATTTAGAAGATCTCTTTTTTTTTTTTTTTTCTACTTATCGCTAGAATATGTTTCAAGAAATATTATTTCAATTGCTGGTGCATAGACAAGTTCATCTTTAGATCAAAATCAGTATTTCTTCTAAAATATGATATATCGATGTCTTTAATCATAGTTTTAGTAATTAAACCAGTATATGCCATGTATAGTGCATTGGAGCACTGATTCAAAACTAGCACAACTGACCTAACATTTTTCCAGCTGAAAACTAGTAAATGAGTCTTGAATGGAGCTATGTTAAATGTCTTAGAAGAAGACAAAATGCCTAACTCTTGCCTTCTCTCTTGAATTGTGGTGTATTTTTGGTGACTAGGTAACATTTTTAAAGGAAAAAATATTTAGACTTATTTAAAACTGCTATAATCAGAAGTTCTTGCTGGCATTCCCTATGTAGGTTCTTGTCGGAATCTGTGAGTATTGGTGATTCCGAGATTGTAGAAAGTCTGTGTCTTTCTGCCCCGCTGCCAAAGAAGAAGCCATAGTTCGTCTGTGCTGTTTTCAAGGTTGTTTATTCTTGCTTATCTATAACATGTTCTGCTGCCCTGCCGCAGGTCTGTCCTGCAGGGCAGTGTGCGGGGCTCTGCCCCTCAGTGGGATGGTACAAACATTATATACCAGAAATTACGTGTACTATATTTACAATAATGTGCCAATATCTATCATCTACGTTGAACAGTGTGTCCCCAGCCTAAACCAATAGAAAAATGCCAACATCACCAAGAACATGGAGGTAAGGAAGAAGAAGGAGGAAGAACAGGATCAGGTCCACTTTCCTCCATCTTAGAACTCCTGACCCCCCTGTACAAAGTAAAACCCCCCTGTACAGGTGTTAAAACCCCCCTGTACAATACTAAAAAATTTTACCCTCTAATTTGTAACTACTTTTACTATACCATCTAACCCTCTGTGACTGCTTGTTCCACCTTCAAAGTTGGTAATTCATTCCATGGTTCAAACTCAAAATCACAGCTGTTCTCAGCTGCTTGCCAGGGTCTAAAATGCTTCTGACCAAGGCCTGGAACCTCCAAAAATGTCTGAGGGACATTTTGAGTTCCGACAGGTTCTGAAAACTTTTTGCCTCAATTTAAACATAATACTGCAGAGCACCATATTTGGAGCATCAGGAGGATGCTGGCACAGATGATCCTTCTTGTCTGAGTATTAAAGTATAATTTCAAGACTCTTCTGATGATTACTAGAATAATTAAGGATTCTGATAAATTAGTGGTTCCTTGAGATTTTTTTATCAACTGTAGCAGTGTCCATTTCCAAATCTGATGCTGATATTTTGACTTGATGTACACCAGAACTTATTACTATCTTTTGCGTGTGTATATATGCATAATCTTGTTGTGGTATATAACATACATTAAACTCTACACTGAACATATGTGTAACAGTCTAATTAAAAAGAATTTGAATTGAACCTTTGAAATGAATGCTAATACTCAGTTATTTTGGTCTAATGCTAATAAAATCACACAATTGTTAGGGATAGAAGGGACGTCAGGAGATCATCCAGTCCAACCCCTCTGCCAAGGCAGAGTTACCTAGAGCAGGTGACACAGAAACACATTCAGGTGGGTTTTGAATTTCTCCAGAGAGGGACACCCCACAACCTACCTGGGCAGCCTGTTCAGTGCTCTGCCACCCTCAACATAAAGTTCTTCCTCATATTGAAGTGAAGCTTTTTCTGGTTTTGTTTATGGTCATTGCTCTTCATCCTGTCACTGGGCACCAGTAACATACTCAGAGTAATTTTAATCTATTACTTTAGATGGCTTTAAGAGTGAAGAAAAATTTTAATCATGTTTTTTATGGGATAATATTGACTAATAAAGGAATCTAATACTTATTCTCCCCTCTTTCTCTTTTTTCAGTGGAACAAGTTCCTGTAGAGCCCTACAACATTCCACTGTCTCAAGCTGAGGTGCTGCAGACGGGCAATGATGTGACAATGGTTGCTTGGGGCACTCAGGTCAGTAACTCTCTTATAAGCTATTTTGTCACCCAGCAAAGCTAGGAGAAAAAGTAATTACTACTACCTGTAAATATCCAGTCCTGACCCCCACAATCAAGGCATATAGCAGTAGCACGACATTACAACCATTTATTATTATTGCTCTTCCAACACACAGTTTAACACCAGCATTGCAAATGCTGCATTATCTGATTACTATAATTAACATTCTACTTTTTCTCCTAGCTGTTTATAAGATAATGCTTTGGAGATGATTACTTGGCTATGTTTCAGTAAGTTAGAGAAAGAGTAGTTACTGGGACTACTGAACTGTTTCTTGGCTTTTTAGCTAAGATCAGATGTAGTGCAGTGTAGTATTTCTGAATGTACTTAATGAATCCTGCTTCTTGCAGGATTGCATGGGACTGCTACATTAAAATACATTACTCTGATGTATTTGGGTATTAGCTTAGTTACAGTCCTAACAAAAAATTTCTAAAACTCATTCAAATTGATTACAAAAAAAAATAGTGAGGACTGATACTATTCACTGAAAGACACTTCTCTAGAAAGCAAATTTTGTTCTCAGTGATTCTTCAGTGAATTTAGTTTTTGGAGTAGTGCTAAAATACTGGGAATAATTAGGTACTAAATAAGAAGTATACACTAAATACTAAATGGTTATTATTGAATAGAAACATCTCTGCTCAACATGTAGGTAATATGTTAAATTACTGCTTGTATTCGATATGTATAATTTAGAGCAATTTGCATAATTTAGATTATTTGGTGATGATACATTGCTTTTTCAGGTACATGTGATCAAAGAGGTGGCAGCAATGGCTCAAGAAAAGCTTGGTGTGTCCTGTGAAGTTATTGATTTGAGAACCATCTTACCATGGGATACAGAGACTATTTGCAAGGTAAGGAAGTGATGCATATTAATTTAAAAACAGCCTAGGTTGTTTTAAAAAGACCGACATTTTTGCTTTGTTTTGTATATATTGTTCGGTATTTTTTGTTCTATATCATAAATGCAGAGTACATGCACATTACATGGAACAGACATTTGCTTTAGCATTGAAAGAGAATTATGTTTCAGGGCTCAAAATAATGTCAGAATACATGTTCTTTACTTTCAAGCAGAGGGTTAATCAGATTTAATCAGACTTCTGCCTGAAAATTGCTTTTCTACAATTTCTGAGTCTTTGTCTTTCTGACATCCTTGCTGTCTTTGGCAAAATTTTTATCTTTTTTTTCTTGCTGTTTAACGTCTTCATCTAGTTGTAGGTCTGCAGTATTGTGCCTTAGTGTTTATCTGTATTTTTAAAAATAAATGTTTTCATTTAAGGTATATGAATTCTTGGGTTGGGGAGAAAAATCAGCATTTACTCTTCTCAGACTACCCAGTTTGAAATTCCTGGGTATTCACAAAAGCACAAAGAAGTGCGTATTCACAAAAGCACAAAGAAGTGCTTCTCTTCTTTGTGGAAGTCTTTGATGTCACTAACAGAACACTTACTGCTTCTGCTAGAGCTGAGTGTCTCCTTAATCTGGCAAATCTACAGTCCTGCAGGACCATGGCTAACAACTCATTGGGTCCTAATTCAGCCTGGGTTTACTTGCTTATTTTATGCTCCTGAAAAAATTACTCAGATGATTGAGAGATGTCTGCAGCTTTCTTAAGTCAGACCTACTAACTCTAGTGTACTGAGTTAACCACAGGGATGAGAACAGCCATGGGCTTGGAAAAAGTTGTGTGATTCCATCAAGTACTTCATCTGCCTGCAGTTTCTAATTTAAGGCAATATGGTGTTGTATTCAGCTAACTGAGATTGTACAGATGTTTAAATAGGGCAGGTCAGCCATATACCGGACTCTATATACTTGGAATATCTCAATTGTGTAGACAAGTGTTTTGTCATTCTGTGTTTGCTTAGTAAGGGCCTTGCTTCTGGTCAGGTAACATATAAACACATTAAGTATGATAGAGGGAAAGATGGACCACTGGTCTGCTACTCTATGGCAAAGCTTGTATTTCTCCTCAGTTTTATTTATCTGAGGGACTGCCAGTGGGATGGGATGGAATAGATTATGGGAGGAAAGATCTATGTTGTGCATTTGCTATTGGCTGCGTTCTGCTGTCTGGTTGTGGATATGTTACGAATTGTGTATTTAAATGTGTAGCTATGATTTGTCTCATATAAATTTGATCTTCTTGGTTGAAGTATTTTAATTTTTTTTGTTTGAAGTGTATTTCTTGTTACTTGGATGTACTTTCTAGTTCTAGCCGTAAAAAATGAAATGTGTTGAGTGACTGTCATCAGTATGAAGTGAAATTTTGGCCATAATAAATCCTTTACAAATTATTTTTCCTTCTTTGAAGATTTGAGCTGTAATTATTTGACAATAAAGTATCTCTTTGAAAGAGCAGTTAAGTCTGTTTTGCTGGGTTGGATCTGCACTGAAATGCCATGAGGAAAAAATGTAGCTGTGCATAGGAAGTGCAGAGCTTTAGTTGTACAATATTTTGCAAATATCTTTTTTAAATTTGGATATTCCATGAGGATTTTTAGCTCATGTGCTGTCCTGAGCATCTTTTGATAAATAAAAATATCATATAATGGTTTGGGCCCAAAAGGATTTTAAAAGATCATGTAGTTTCAACTCTCCTGCCATAGACAGGGATATCTTCTATTAGATTAGGTTGCTCGGAGTTCCATCCAGGCTGGCCTTGAACACTTTCAGGGCTGGGGAATCCACAACTTCTCTGGACTGCTTGTTCAGTGCCTCACTGCCCTTGCAATGAAGTTTTTTTTTTTTTTTTTTTTTTTTTTTTCCTAATATCTAATCTAATATCTAATAACCCTTCTCTGTCTGAAGCTCTTCCCCCTTGTTCTGCCACTACATGCTCTTGTAGAAAGTCTCTGTCCATCTTTATTGTAGGCTTCTTTCAGGTACAGGAAGGCTGCAATTAGGTCACCCCAAAACCTTCTCTTTTCCAGGCTGAACAATCCCAATTCTTAGTGTTTCCTTGTAGGAGGGGTTCTCCATCTCTCTAAAAGATGGAATAGATGGACCTGTTGCTTTAAATCTGCTAATAAGTTTATTATTAAGAATTAAGAGAATAATTAAAAAAAAAATTATAGTGGCTGTTGGCTAGGCAGTTCAGCTGTTTGATATAATAAATACCAAACAGTAAATGTTTTTAGTTAGCACTGCTGTTATGTTAGTTTGGCTGTATGCTGGCTGATCTGATGGGAGAAATGTTAAATTCTCTTCTTTAGATCTTGTCTGTTTTGCTCAGCTGAAAATAATTAGTGGTTTGCATTTGTGCATTAGTTGGTTGCATTATGTAACACTGAAACTTTTTAAATTCAATTTGCATCTTGGATAGCTTTTAAGGTAATTGCTAGTGTAAACAGATGGATGGAACTACAGCTCTAGCTGCTTGCTCTAGTTCCAGCCCAAGAGGAACTGCTTGTGGCAGCTGTTGCAGTTGACAGTGGCTTACACCCTCAGCCTGGGTAACGTGACTTGTTATTCCCGTCCTGAGATGCCAGTGTCAAGGTCCAAAAGATCAGTAGAAAAATTGGCCATTCCAGAGAAAGTCCTTAGCTGTCCATTGGTCTGCTTATGTTCTCTCTGTGGGCTCTTAAATGATAGTGGAATTGCTTTTACTCCAGTCCAACCCATAAAAAAATTATCAGCTGCTACAGGTCTGACTATTTGCCTGTGACTTACTTGTGTCAGCACTCATAAACATTAGGCCAGGTTTTTGTTTTTCCTTGTCACACATGTGTTTGAAATGCATCCATTGTCTCTGTGTCCTGTTGGATGCAGATGATGGTGCACATAATATACTGTAATCTTATTGCTCTTCTGCTGGTGCTGGAATGCATGGTCCATGGCTGATGGGAGTCTGCATGGTGGTGAAGACCAGGACTTTGGGTTTTGCTGTAAAAGCACATCCCTCAGTTTCACTGCTGGGAATGGTGTCCTTTGTGATCAGTAAAGGCTGTCATTTTATTCTAAGCTGGAAATACCTGCAACTTTAATTTGACAGCTGTGGTGTAGGCGTGGAGAGGGATGGGCTGAAATTGTTAGTGCTTTGGAGATGAGCAGTAATATGCAAATTTTCACTGGAAATCTAACTCCTTGGTTTGCTTTCTGTACCTTTTTTGATACAGAAAATTATGTAATGAAAATTCATATTTTCTAGAACTATGAGAAGCTGTGCTTCACAACTGCCAGCAGAGGCCTCTTCTAGTCAAGTGTCTGCTTTTAGCACTGCTCCTATGAGCACGTTTGTGAATAAATATCTCTGAGAGAAACATGAATGAATACAGTGAGCATAAATAAAAATTGCTGTTTAATGTTGCTGATATTTTCTTTGCATTTTTAATACTTTGAGATTTTTCTCAGTTTTGAAATAGGTTAGCATTTGTCATCTGCATGAGGAGATGAGGTTGCACCTGCCTGGAGCAGACTACCATGGACTTTGAATGGATCCCACCAGTGATAGAAACTTTTATTGTTACAATTCCTGGAACGGGTCAACATGCACACAGGGGCTACATTTTTCTTTTGTTGCTCTTCAGATGTCTAAGAAGGAGAAATGAAGGTTGACTTAGTTTCAGGAGCTCATAGAGCTATTCTAGAGACAAGATATTTCCACAAGTGCATCAGCAGTCTTATTTCTTCATGAGATGAATTGGCCTCTGGAATTGTCATGGTTTAAAGGTTTGGTCTAAAAAAAAAAAAAAAAGGGAGACTGTAATTTTACTAGAGTAAAGTTAGGTGAGGCAAATTGAACTATAATTTTGTAGCTGACAAATGATAACTGCTGCTGACATAAAGGACATAAGTAGCTTAAAAAAAAACCTGACATTTTTACTAGGATAAAAGCAAAGAATCCGTGTTTTATATATGTTTCTGTACATTAAAATGCATGCTGATCTGTAATCTTTCTAAGATCTTTTGCAAGAAAAATGGGGTAGATAGTACAGATTGTACATGCACAGACTCCCAGTATATTGCTTCTGAATGAGACAGGAAGCAAAAGCAAACGTGCTTTTTCCTTGCAGGATTGAAAGTAAACCCAACATCAACTCCCAATATGTAGCTGTATAAATCAGCTTAAAAGGTTTTGTTGTTATGTGTCAGAAAAGTGACACAAGCTTGTTTAAGGAGTATATGCTACCTTAGCTTCTTCCTTAGGAAGTGTAACAGCAAAGGCTTGTCTATGTATACATTTTCAAAGCACAATGTCATTGTGGTCAGTGAGAAATTTGTTAGGTCTCTTGTTTACTTTGACAATCTTCACTGATTCTGACAAAAGCTTTTGTTTTATTCATTAGGACTGGAGTATAAGTCGTACAGCAGTTGTAACTCAGAGAGATGAACTAACTGTCCATAGCATTGTTGTTTTTTTTTTTTATTTTTTTTTATTTTTTTGAGGGAGAGAATGCTTTCCCTGTGCTGATTCTAACATTAACATCCTACATCTGTGTATTTCATTCATGTATAAGTGGGCTGGGATCAGCAGTGATTTGTTTTCCATTATACCTTCACCTGTAAACACGAATGCATGAAATGATTGTGTTTCTCAACATACCCTGCTGATAAAGAAGCCTCTGCCTTGAATGCCCTGCTGACTCCCCAGCTGTTGCATGTGCATGCAGACATCTGCATTTAGTGCAGCCACAGCAAAGATGTCAGTATCTAATCCAGACAGATGACACTTTTCCACTACTTGATTGATTTGCTGTGTTATTATTGAAAGACTAAGCTGCCGTGAAGGACACTGCTCAGAAAACTGAAATATGAGTGATATATGAAATATCTATGAAAGTGGCTATTTATAAGCCACAAAACTGCTTAAAAAAACCTCTTTCTCCCTTTCAGAAATGACACTTTAAAA